GCAAAAGGCAGAGCAGGAGTTTGTAAGGGCTGGGAGCACTGGGAGTTGCAATTTTGAGTAGGATGATTGGGAAGGTGTCATGGAGAAGGTGACATGTGATAAAATCTGCAGAGCATAAAGGAAGGAGCTGTTGAGATGTCTGGGGCACAGCATTCTGGAGAGAGGGAACAGCATGTGAAAATGTCCTGAGGTGCACCTGGGTTGTAGAGACAGCAAGGAGGCCATTGTGGCTGGAGTGGAGTGAGCAATAGAGAGAGAAGGGAGAGGGGGGTGGAGAGAGAACAGGCCTTGGGGACCACTGCAAGGACTTTGGCCTTTGCTCTGAATGAGTGTAAAGGATTTTGAGCTGAGAGAATACATGCTCTGACCTGCATCTGAGAAAGATCCCTTTGGCTGCTGTTTTGAGAATTGCCTATGGTGGGGGCAGAGGAGGCTAAGGGAGGCGGGGGGCACATATTAGGAATTGTCCTTCCTCCTGGGAACTTGAGGACAATCCTGGGGTCACAGAGTAAACTGAAAAATGGGACCAGAATCTTGGTCGCCTGATTTCCATTTCCATGGGCTTTTATTTCAACGCCAGAGCTGAGGAAGCCACAAGCAAATACCTAGTTTTTTGTTTTATTTTTTGTTTTGGATGTCTTCCCATTTATTCAGGTCTTTGTTAATTTCTTTCAATGTTGTTTTGTAGTTTTCAGTGGACAGGTTTTACACTTTTTTGTTAACTTTATTGGGGCAACATTGGTTAATAAAATTATGTAGGTTTCAGGTGTACAGTTCTATAATATGTCATCTGTATATTGTATTATATATTCACCACCCCAAGTAAAGTCTCCTTCTGTCACCATTTTTATGGCAGTGCCCTGTCTTACTGGCTCAACTCTTACCCCCAGTGGTTTAGAATATGCAGAAATTAATCCAGTTTTTACCCACCTTAACCTCTGGTTTTAAGTCTTCTCTCAACCATGATAGTAAGACAAATTTTACCTCTTGTTTCCCCACCCCCCCACCTTTTCAGCTGAAAAACGAGCTTGAGCACAGTGGGAAAGGCTGTGGGCAGGCAGAAATCTTTGGGGACATGCTTGGTTTTCTTTTTTCCCTGCATAGTTTATCAGACTTAAAACTTTTGTCTGAAAGAGCTTATCCTGTGGTCTTAGATCCAGAAGGGACAAAAATAATCCTCTTTGCTTTTATAATACACAGGATCAAATACCTTGTTTAAAAGTGAACACTTGTACTTCAGATACTTCTGTGACTAGAATTATAGAAGCATAGTTCTTAGATGTAAGATGCTTTCAAGTGTGCCTGGAAGTTAAGATTTTTAGCCATGGCCCTGGCTGGTGCAGCTCAGTTGGTTGAGCCTTGTCCTATGCATTGAGAGGTCTCTCTGGTTTGATTCCTGGTCAGGGCACATACCCAGGTTGCAGGCTCAATCCTTAGTAGGCGGGGAATACAGGGAGGCAGCCAATCAATGTTTCTCTCTCTCTCCGTCTCCCTTCCTCTCTCTCTAAAATCAATAAAAGCATCCAAAAATGGTTTTAGCTATAAATCTGAGGATTTTAGGTAATTGAGGCCCAAAGAGATCAAATTCCTTTTTATTGAATATAGGGAGCCAACAATTACCGAGAACTTCTCATATGCCAGACTCTGTGCTCAGCATTGTTTCATTTAATCCTCAGAATAAACATGGGAATTTGGTATCAATTGTGTGGATGAAGAGAAAGGAGGTTCAGAGAATTACAGTGACTTGCCCAATGTTAAACAGTTGTATGGGGGAAGGCAGAACTTGAACCCAGTCCTGTGCTCTTAACCACTACTCTGTACTGGTCAGGATGACCTATCAATGTTATTCTATAACCCTTGCCTCCCAATGGCTACATTTAATGGCAGTGATAGCTTCTGGTTATCCTATATAATAAAACCCTAATATGCAAATCGACTGGACAGTGGAATCACCGGTAGCTATGATGCGCACTGACCATGAGGAGGCAGATGCTCAACGCAGGAGCTGCCCCCTGGTGGTCAGTGTGCTCCCACAAGGGGAGTGCCGCTCAGCCAGAAGCAGAGCTCATGGCTGGCAAGCGCAGCAGCGGGTGGTGGGGAGCTTCTCCCACCTCCACTGCAGGCAGGCAGTATGGAGCGAGGGGGTCCTGGGACTGTGACAGGGGGTGTCTGATTGATGGCTTAGGCCTGATCCCCAGGCTTATGCATATGTCTAAGCCGGCAGGCGGACATCACCCAAGGGGGTCCTGGATTATGAGAGGGCACAGGCCGGGTTGAGGGGGACCCCCTCTCCAGTGCATGAATGTTGTGCACCCGAACCTCTAGTATTTTAATAATTGGCCTTGTACAGCTCATAGAATTCACCAGATAAGACATAACCAGACCAGTGTCTACAAGAGGAGCGACCTCATGCATATTTAAACCTATTAAACTTTAAGTAAACCACGTCTCTCACCCGGAAACATGGATCAGAGAGGGGAGAATGGTGTGTTGTGACCATGGATTAAAAACCCCATCCAAACAAGGGGAATGTTACGACTGAACAATTGAACAGTCACCGAGGATCTTTAACAGACGCCACCCCTCCCAGCCCCCATTCACTTGCCTGTTACCCTGAGCACAGTTCCTGCACAAAAGAGCCGGTTTATTCCTTCTCTTTATTGCAGGAAAGGCAGCCAGCTGGCCGGTGGCCTGGGAGCAGCAGACCATGGGCACCGCCGGCTGAGGGGAGGCAGAGTTTGTTTGCTCTGAGCTCCTGAGACCCTCATGGAGAGGGTACCCCTCTCGGCCCCCACCCCCAATCATCGAGTGCCCTTCTCTGCATCACCTGCCCCTTCAGGGTCCCATGAGGGCACTTCATGGTGGCCGTTGAGTGGCTGGATGGAGGAAGCTCAGGTCATGATGTGCCTGCTTTTTTGTTTTTGTTTAATGTTTCTGGCGTTAAGCAAAAAATACCATCACAGCCTCCCTTTTCAGCCCTGGCCTTCCTACCCAGAAACGCTGGCTGTAAGGATTTCTCGTGGGCTGATAGGCATATGCCTAACAGCGCCTAGTTTTGTCATCCAATGAAGTCCCACTCAGCATTAAAGATCCTGATCAAAAGCCCTGCCTCTGAGATTCTTGCCAGATTCCCTAAACTGGAGGGAACGGGCATTGTGAAATAATAGAAAAATATTTGTATCGGTCTCTTCCTCTGGTTTTGGCACAGAGCTCGCAGAACCCTTGTAATGTCCTAGCACTAGGACCATCTTTTGTTCTAATATTTGGTCTTCGACCTTGGTTTCTGACACACAATTCCTAGATTCATTGGAATTTCCTGGGTGACAGGATTGTCTGTTGTTCTAATAAGGCAACTCTTGGTGGGTTCCTGGATGGCTTCCAAAAGCCATGATTAGAAGCTTGGAACTGCCCCCGCGGGTAGCTCAGTTGGTCGGAGCAGCATCCTGTGCACCAAAAAGGTTGTGAGTTCAGTCTCCAGTCAGGGTGCCTGCAAAGGGCAACCAATGGACGATTCTCACATCAATGTTTCGCTCTTTCTCTTTTGCTGGGTCCCTCAACACCTTCTTTGTATCCCTGATTTGTGCCCCATTCCGTCTGCATGAGCTAAGGATCCCAGGATTTTGTTCATGCTGAATGGCACCGTCCATGGATTCGGGTGTCATTCAGTTGGGGTCTCAGGATGCTTTTAACAGATGATCTGAGTCCTAAGGGGAATTATGTGAGTATCTCAAAGCCTTATTCCTAATCTCTAAAATGGGGCTAATAATAACACCTAGTTCATAGGACTGTTTTAAAATTTAGACAGAAAGATGTGCATAAAGCATACAGTAGACCCATTATAATTATTGTTGTAGTTGTTATTATTAATTGCTGCTGTTATATGATGAACATTTCATAATGGGTTAGTCTGAATGTGGTCCTCTTGACTAGAGGACAGACCCTTACCCCCCAAAAGAGGGGGGGCTACTTTATTAAGTAAACCAACAGACATTTTTTGTCCACCTGCTGGACACTGAGCTTGGACCTAGAGCAGCGGTTCTCAACCTGTGGGTCACGACCCCTTTGGCGGTCAAACGACCCTTTCACAGGGGTCGCCTAAGACCATTCTGCATATCAGATATTTACATTATGATTCATAACAGTAGCAACATTGCAGTTATTAAGTAGCAACGAAAATAATTTTATGGTTGGGTCACAACATGAGGAACTGTATTTAAAGGGCCAGAAGGTTGAGAACCACTGACCTAGAGTTTCAGGTAAAGGCCTAGAGCCGTGGTCAGCAAACTGCGACTCGAGAGCCACATGCGGCTTTTTGGCCCCTTGAGTGTGGCTCTTCCAAAAAATACCACTTGCGGGCACGCGTACAGTGCGATTGAAACTTCGTGGCCCATGCGCAGAAGTCGGTTTTCGGCCTGGGCGAGTCTATTTTGAAGAAGTACTGTTGATATTTGGCTCTGTTGACTAATGAGTTTGCCGACCACTGGCCTAGAGTATCGGTGTGGATTAAAGTGAACTAGCATACAGACACATTATGGGAACCCAAAGTCCAAATGGGTTGTGGGGGGTGTTTGGGTTGAAATCCAAGAAAACGGGAGAGGAAAGCATTTAAACTGGGCTTTTAACGATAATTAGAACCTTAGTTGGACAAGGATGTAGGGAAGAGCAACGGAAGGCCCAAGGAACAGCATGGGAAAAGGCCTAGAGGCAGGGACAAGCCTGGGAAGGAGAGGGAAAAAGGCACATTTGGGGACCAGCAAGATTTCCTGAGTAGCTCTTGGTGTTGGATATGAGGATAGACACATGTAGCAGAAAATATTCCACTGAATTCCAGAAGGTGAGGGTGGTAAGGTAGGCTGGACCAGACGAAACCAGTCATTAGACACTAGCTGGAGAAGGGTCCCCACGCTGAGATAGCCGCCATCCCTCAGCCCAGCCAGGCAGCGTTCGCTGTCCCAGGTCCTTCCCAAGACCACTCCGCCACAGCTACTCTGTCTACTTACTCCAAAACAGTATCCCTGGATTGGATTTCTGAGATCTTTTTGGCTGGTTGGAACTTGTGTTCCTCTTCCTCTTTCAGTTTCTGAAGTTGCTGTTGCCTCTTTTTCAGTGTACTCTCCTCCCTCAGCATGGCAAAATACCCGCGGCCTATCTTCACAGACCGAATCAGGAAGCTAGAGAGATGGAGACAGAGGAGTTGACTATTAAGAAAGACACTGTCTTGCCCTGGCCGGCGTGGCTCGGGTGGGCGTCATCCTGGGCACTGGAAGGTTGTTAGTTCGATTCCCTGTAGGGGACATGCAGGAGGCAGAGCGTGGGGCCAGCGCAGAGGACACCCATCATGTGTGGCCGTCGTGCGTGGCAGTGGGAGGGCTCCAGGGACGCTGGCAGACCCCGCCAGCTCGGTGAGCTTTGGGCTCCGATTTCAGTGTGTAACTGGACAAAAACTTCCACCTTCCCCTGCAGAACTTGTGGCCAATTAGATGTTGAAATGTCTGTGTTATAGATGGAATTGTGTTCCCCCAAAACTCATAGCTGGAAGTCTTAACCCCCGGTACGTCCGAATGGGACCTTATTTGGAAATAGGGTCATTGCAGGTGTAATTAGTTAGGGTGAGGTCATGTTGGCGTAGGGCTGACCCCTCATTCAATATGACAGGTGTCCTTATAAAAGGGAGAAATTTGGACAAAGACACGCATGCAAAAAGAATGCCACGTGAAAATGAGGCAGAGATGGGGCGATGCTTCTATAGGCCAAGGGATGCCAAAGATCACCAACAAGCCACCAGGAGCTAGGGGAGAGTCGTGGAGCAAATTCCCACAGTCCTCCCAACCCTCCTGACACCTTGATCTTGGACTTCTAGCATCCAAACGTGTGAGGCAATGCATTTCTGTTGTTTAAGCCACCTGACTGGCAGTATGTTAGGGCGGCCGTAGGACAAGAATGCAGTATGAGCGAACGTCTAGTCCTCCACTCATGGAACAGCCTAACTCTTTATTTTCTTTGATGTTAATAACGTCCTGATTAATCAATTTTATAATAAGTGACAGGCGGATGGTCCATGGTGCAGTGAGTCAGAGGGCTTGAATATTATGTTCCAGGCCCTGGGCTGGACACCTCTTATGTGTCAGATTCTGTGCTGGGCACTTATTCGGTTTCAAGTTCTGTTTAAGGCACTGGCATTGCAAAGGTGACCATATCCTCCAAGAATTTGCATCTTAGTTATCTATTTTTTTTGGGTCATAATTAGGAGGTTGGTAATAGATTTATTTACTTGACTTATGTTTGTCCTTATTCCAAAAAGTATTAGAGGCAGAAAAGAAAAATAAAAAGGCAGGAAAAACAAGAAAATAAAATCAGGCGAGACAAGTATCAAAATCCATGCCACATGATCTAGTGCACAGATTTGGCCCTGAGCATCCTAGTGGCCAATGCAAAGAGGGAAACACAATCCCTCACGTGATTTCTAATGCCCATAAGTTTTTTAAAAATCTGTTCTGGTGTTGCCTAGCTATTCCTTGTCCTGAACTAGGAAGAGTTTTCTCTCAAGGACCTGCACAGGGAGGACACTGTGAAAAGTCAAGCCTGCAACACACCCGGAAATGCAGAGTGATGAATGCCTGTCTTGTCAATAACTCCCAGAAAGAGATAGGGGAGTCGGTGTTGGCCAATTGGAGGAAATCTAGCAAGTTTTCTGGTGGAATTGCAGCCCCTCTTCACCCAAAGCAGCCAGACTCCCACCTGCCAGACCTCTGGAAAGACCTGTGTGAGAGATGAACAGAGTTGGGGAGGGTCTGGACCCTCATGCCAGACACACCAGTCTATTCTGGGAACTTCAGGCTGCAGGATGTCCATTCAGGGAGCTTGAAATGCTCCCCTGGCACGTGGAGGCCCATTTAAAAAATGCTTAATATCTTAGCAAATTCCCATTTAATTCCCTACATTTTCTTCATCTTATTGCTGATTACCAGGCTATTTGTGTGAAGGGAGCTATTTGTAGGGAAGAGCAGTTTTTGCCTTTAAATCCACTCACTCGGGCCTCTTGCTCACTGCTTTTCGCAATGGAAAACTCCCCTGGCTAACATCGCAGCAGGAACGATGGGGAGTGGAATAATTAACTGCGTCAGGCAAGCGGAGGGAAGAAGCGGATTAGAAAATGAAAAGTTTCCTCTACCCAATGCAACTTCCTCTTAACCGGTGCATGAGGATGGCTTTTATTTTTAAGGGACATATGTTCTCTGCAGGGGAGTCTGTGTGAGCTGATGAATGAGGAATGTGCCTGTGGCCAATGGGGACACACTCAGCAGGGATTAGCTGAGACGGACAGAGGGCAGGAGTGGGCACCCAGGCTTCACTCCCCACACCTTCAGGCCTGAGGGCAGGTGTCTGCAGAGGTAAGGCGTGGGCAGCAGCCCCAGGATGGGATCTCTACTCTGCCACTCCCTTAGCAGGTTGTCAACCTCTTCACCTTCAAATGGGGAAAATATTAGTTCTTGCCTCAGAGGGCTGTTGGGAGGGTTAGATGAAATGGATTGTGACATCGAGAGCTCAGTTTGGTGCCCAGTACATAGGATTCAGTGATTGGGAGCTATTGTTATTGTCAGTTTACCCAAGAGTCCTGAGAGGTTGGTGTGACTTACAGATGAGGAAACAGGGAAAGGTTAAGTAGATGACGAGGGTCATACAGCCGGAAAGGAGCCAAGCAGGGATTGGGAGCCCGTGGGGCGATTTCACAACGTATCTCTCCACCTGCATGCGGCAAGCACATTCAGGGGAAGCTTTAAAGCGCAGAGTTTGTGTGTCTCCGGGCCATTGTGCAGAGTTCACCTCTGGCTTCTAGAAGGAAAACGGTGGCTTCCCCTTCCCCTCTGGACCAGGCTTTACCTGGTCTAAGGCACTACTTGTGGCACATTAGGTCACTGTTCAGCAAATACTCACATCCCCCCCCCCCCCGCCTTTCTTTAGGCTCTGCCAATGTGACTTCTTTGGCCAATGGGATGTTAGTAGATGTGACTTGAAGAGAAGCTTGACATAAGCTTGCTCATTTAGGTCCATGACAAGGAAAGAAACCTCACTATTTCACTAAATCCAGAAGAATGAGAAAGGCATGGAATAGACCTGAACCAAGCGAATGTTAGCCTAGATCAGTAAAACCGCAGTTAACCTACAGACACATGAGAAAGGAAGAAATACTAAAAGTCAGAGAGTTTTGGGGACATCTTGTTACACAGCATATTATGGTGAAAATAGCTGACCAATACATATCCCTTATAAGACATACCATTATTTCATGAACCACGAAGAAGAAAAAAACCCATGCCAATTACATTAAGTCATGATTATACATTGCATCTCCAGTTCAGAGATGTTGAAAAGTGCCTCTTAAATATGATAAAATATGGTATAAAGGAAGAAATTGTCTCAGGCCCAAGAAAAGATGGTCTGGAACAGAACTTGGATCATAGAGTAATTAACAGCCCCTTCTGAGAAGCATCTAGCATATCTGGTAAAATATTTGGGAAATTTTCTGATATCCTCTAATCATTAGAGCCTAATGAAATTAAGAGTTCTTTCTGGGGTGTTAGATTTAACCACATAGGGGGCCCTTCAGACTTGTAACAAAGCTATTGACCTTTATCCATTTCTCCCTTGAGTGATGCTATGTGGCTCCTTGCTACTCAAAGTGTGGTCCCTGGACCAGTAGCATCCTCATCGCCTGAGAGCTTGTTAGAGGCACAGAATCTTGGGCCCCAGGAAGGCCTCCTGAGTAAGAATCTGCATTTTAATGGGACCCCCAAGTAATTCCTATGCATCTTGAAATTTGGGTTGTACTGGTCCAGCCACCCTTTCCCTCTATTAAAAAAACAACTCCAGAAAGAAATCTTCAAACGGGCTTTAGCAGAAGTCCAATTCCCTTGCTACAAGTTTGAAATAAAACTTGGGGCACGGCTAGCAGTCAGCTCATCTCAGAAAGTTCTTTGAGTGTGTCTGCAGGAGACAGTCACCCTTGAGGGCACTCTGCTTGCAATAACTGTCCCACTGCCTGAGTCAGCCTCCATCCTCAGGCTCCAAGACGAGGACTGGAGGTCGTCTAAGGCACAGTCCCAGTTGTCTTCACGGGGGGCCATGCAAGAAGCTGCGGAGTGCTGGACAGCTTGGAGGCCATGAAGGGAACTTAAGTTCAACCTTTCTATTATGGGGGCATGGGATTAACCACTGCAAATCACTTTGTCAAAAAACAACAGCCCGAATGTCACACACACACACACACACACACACACACACACACACCCCTTTGAATGGTATTAAAGCTTTGCATCCAGCTGGTTTTCACTCACATTTTCCGTCTCTGCCTGAAGAAATATGGGGCTATAAAGCCAGGAGTGCTTCCGCGGAGAAGGAATGACTTTTAGATGAACACACACTCCTAGCAACCCAATTTCAGGGATGTCCTGCTCTTACAGAAGGGAATTGCCTACATGGGAAACTTTCACTGAACACATTTTACTGTTTTCAAATCATAGCCAATAATTCAGTTTCTCTCCAGTTTGTGGAGGCTGGCGGCTTGGAGAGCCGACTTCATCTAGCGGGCTCCCCCACCTTGCTTGGTCAGCCCACCCAGATATATTGATTTCAGAAGAGAGAGGGCAAGTAGGATGGCCAGAAGGGATCTAAAATGCTATCCTTAAATTCTTTAATTTTCAGGCAACTCATACAACAGGCAAATTAGTAACGCAGCCCCAGTTCAAATGCACACCGAGCAAATATTTTCGCATTTAAATTCCCGCATTAGAATGCCCTGTTTATACAATAACTTAATAAATCTAGCCCGGCTGCCAAATTGACAAGAAGGTGAGAATCATTCATTAAAATGCAAATGCAATTGAGATGAAGTTTGGAATACATTTATTACAGTAATTGAACTTCAGTCAACTGTAGTCACAACACCGATTTTGAACTGCCTTTCTGACAAAAGGATGCGTTGTATTGTTCACCACCCCCCCTCCCAAGTTAATATCTTTGTCAGCATCCAAATTAGTCATTCCCCGAGTGCTAACGATTTGCAGTGGAGATCTCACTCTTCTTTATAGGACAAGATTGCTGAGATAAAGGTCAACTGAAAACACAAAAGATGGCTCTGGTAGCATATTGTGTATACAGCAAATTGATTGCA